AGGAGTGGGTGCGGGGAACAGTGCTTACCTGCTGTGACTTCCAGTGTTTCTGCTGGTCGATTTTGATGAGCTGGACCTTGGCAGCTTTCAGGAGGTTGACCATGCGTTTGTCCATGGCGGACATACAAAGCGAGTGATTGGCCAGGTTCTGGGTCCTCTCCAGCTCCATCTCCTTGCTTAGCTCCAACGGGGGAGTTACGGAACCCTCCTCCTGCTCCCCTCCCGGGCTCACATCCCCAACGCTCTCCGCCTTCGGACCACCGTCCGTCTGGGTCTCCCTGTCCCGTGATCGTTCGGTGGGCCCCTCCAAAACCCCTCCCACCTCCTCCTCCTCCCCCTGCTCCCCCTCTCGGCCTTCGGGGGACTGTGGGGCTGTGCTGTCCCCATGCTCCTGAACCCCCGGGAGGGGTGGCGAGCTGGGCGGGGGTTGAGGAGAGGAGCTGGGAGTTGGCGTGTCCCTCTCATCCTGCTCCCCCTGGGGGGAGAGGCGGGGCTCTGTCTCTGGGGGTCCAGGGGGTGGTGGAGGGGAAGGGGGAGGGGCCTGGGGGTGTGTTAAGCCTGGCTCAGGACGCCAGCTGCGGGTCCTCATGGAGTGGGCGGGGGGCGAAGGGGGTGGCTCCAGGGGGCGCGGTTCGGGGGTGGACCCCTCCTCTGAAGCTGGGTCAGGGGCAAGGCAGGAGTAGGGGGGTGGCAGCGCAGCGCTGTGGCTGACAGGGGAGAGATGGAGACCCCCGAAGACCCCCCGGGGGGTCTCAGGCCGGTCAGGAGGGGTGCCCCAGGTGAAGGTGGGCTGGCGCAGGAGGGAGCGGTGACCGCTGGGAGGGAGGGCTGAGAGCTGGGGGGCAGGGGATGGAGGGGAGGAGAGGCTCCCGGGCTGCGGGTCTGCCGGCTGTGCGGACGTAGGGGGGCGGCATGGGGTGGGGGCTGTGGGGTTGCGCCGGGGACGCCCGGGGCCCCTGCCCGAGGGAGGGGGGCAGGGATCGGGGGCCGGCATGGCCCGAGGGCCCCCTCCCCTCTCAGCCCCGCCCTCGTCGTCCACAAAGCGCCTGGGGGTCCTGATGAGGCGGGAGGAGCGGGCACTCACCACAGGCATGATGAACTGGCGGATGTTCTTCAGGTACTTGGACTTGGCCTGGCGTGGGGGGGCAGGGGGGGGGGGTTGGGGGGGGGGGGGGGGGAGCAGAGGGAGGAGGTGGGGAAGAGGGAGGGGCAGGAGGAGGAGGAGGGGGAGGGGGTGGGGGAGGGGGAGGAGGAGCAGCGACTGGGCGCCTCTGCGCTGCAGGTAGCGGTGGTCTCCCGCGCCCAGGCTGGTGACTCTGTGCCACCGGCCTCCCCCTTTGCCCAGGCACCCTCCTCCCCTTGCCTCTCCCCGCCAGCGCCTGGCCCCTGCCCCTGGGAGCCTGGAGGCGCAGGCTCCTACGGGGAAGACCCGGGCCCTTCCTCCGCCGCGCGGCCTGGCCCAGCTTCAGCGCGAGGGGGCACTTGACTTTCTGCTGCTTCTTGGTATTGGCCTGGAGCTTGCGCAGGAGCGAGAGGCCCGGCCCGTGGGGCTTTGGTGCTGCCCCAGCCTCTGCCCTCGGGGGCCTGGGCACGACTTTGCGGTGAGATGGTCTACCAGGACCACGGGGGCCGGGTGCGCTCCCAGCCAGCGCCAGCCCTCGCCTGGGAAGCTGGGATTTGGCCCCATCCTGTGTTCCCTGGGGAGGGAGAGGGGCTGGTAACGGAGGTGGAGGCGGAGGGACAGAAGGTAGCGAAAGGGGCAAAAGCTGTGGGTCTTTGCGTGCGACGTGTTCCTTATTCTGGCGATCTGCAGGGAGACAGAGAGAGAAAGCACAACGAGGGTACTGCTTTGCACTGACACTATTGGAGTTTGAGTCTGAACACTTGGAGTCCTGTGAAACATCACTGTGTCAGACTAGCTGAAAGTGGGCCAGCTAACTGGCTGCCTGCCTCTGGAGCTGGGGTATTTGGTGGTGGGGGAAGAATGAGGGGTTTGGCGATTTCAAACTGAGACAAGGAGACACGTTGTCAGTCTGACGGGAAATCCCACCCCCTCGCTGCACGCGCAGAGCAGAGGCTTGATCACAGAACAGATTCCAGGTGGATATCGATCAATCTTTGGAGGTATCTCGAATCTGGGGATGTAGTTTGACAGGACAGTCTCTGGGATCACATGGAACAGGGCAGCAGGAAAGGGAGAGAGAGGGGCCAACTGTTTTACTGCAAATGTTAACATGCGTCACACCAGACAAAGCAGATGAAAACTGACAACAGCCCCCAGAGTGGCAGAGGGAATCGAAAGCTTCGTGAAGGCAGTAGGAGTGTGTTGGAAGAGAGAGGTTTAGGGAGGGACACAGACGCCACTGAAAGTGCTGACATTGATGCAGCTACACATCACAACCACGGACAACTCCTCCCAGCAGCGCGGCGCTCCCTCAGCGCTGACCCTCCGACAGTGCGGCACTCCCTCAGCGCTG